TTGATAAGATTTTACGGCAAAACGGGTGTGAAGGAGCATTCCGAAGCTAGAGACCGTACCGAACACCCTGGGGTACTCCACTCGGGTCGCCTTTCATTACACACTCACTGCGAGAGATGTTAATCGCTATGTAAAAGACCACATACCACAAAATATCAAGACTTCCAGTAAGCTTGATCTTTCGTCGGGAGACGAGCGTTAGGAACGATTTTGGGTAATCGATTTGCCGCACGCGGCTGTCGCGGACCACTCACTCGCCGTTATTACAGCTCTAGCGTTCTTCATACAGCTCAATCGATATGCGATCATTATTCTATGCATAATTCTACTATTAGTACTTTGTTCTTGCATTTCTTAACTACTGCTGCATCCTGCTACATTCCTTCGCGTGCGACGCCCCTCTCACCGCGACGCGACCATTTCGTTCCTAACGCACCACACCCTCTTTCGTCCACCCCTCCCCCTCCCCCCAATTTGCGACGGCTTTTAACATCATCTCGTTTGTATGAGAGTCCTTGTGGAAGAACCAACTGTAATATGCGTGAAGAATATGAGGTATGCCAAGAAACCAAGAAAAATGTGTAGCGTACAAAGTAGTATCCCTTGCTTGTAACGAATTTTACATGGGAGAAACCTCAAGACCGCTACACAAGAGGGAGACGAACATCTAAGAGCTTTGCGCGGTCCACAACACTACACCGAAAATCCTTTCTCCAGACATCGTACACTTTGCCACCCGCAGGAAAGGCCGTCCCAATTTCCGTTTCCATTCTGCAGGAAAAAGTGGGAAATCCGGTCAAAAGGAAAGGGGAGCGTTAGAAATAAAGAAATTCTATCCACCGATCAACAGTAAGGAGGAGATGAAGGTGGCAATGAGCTTCATATCAATAGCAATCTGCAGAAAAACGGGAGAGATTTGGATATAGAATCACGGACGTCATTTATTTCCGTAATTCAGGGAGCTTTCAAGCAACTCTGTGACATTACCTCAAATCATTACTTGGAATAAACAGCTGTAAGTGCTACTTTTCAAGTAAAAATGGCATAAATATGTCTTTTGGAATCTCAGACAGGCTGATAATACTTTGAACTAATCTCGTGAGGTAGACGTACTAGTTCTTTTCAGACATCGATACCTAGTATTTGCAAAATAGGGACACCGTTAAAATGGCATTATCACAACGGGCAGGAAACGTGTTAAATGTCTAAATTTAATTTATAAACTGTAGAAGTTTCTCTGCAACAATTGCTCCATCACGGATTACAAATGCATGTTCACAACCGTGCTCATCCAGCTGCACATGTCCACGGGGTAAACGGGTTTCCATTGAATAACCTGAACATTACAACTATTAAAAGAAGAACGAGCTCCTCCCTACATTCCACTGAATAATTTACTACAATGGCTGCTTTCATAGTTCACGATTTGACCCACGAGCGAGCGATCCAGCGACTGGGCGGCGCTTGCCCGCAGTATAGACCAAGATTTAGTTGTAAACAAGGGTCAAGCGCCGTCCCAATCGCTCGATCGCTCGCTCGCGGGCCAAATCGTGGACTATGAAAGCAGCCAGTGCCAGCGGGGCGAACGTACGCGGGGCATTATGGTCAACCAATCGATAACCTTTGAAGTCGCTTTATTGATCCACAACCCACTGACACCGCAACCTCCAACGCTGGCAAAAATTCAGCCAGCGTTCATTATAAACGTACCTAATTCCTCCGGACACCAGCCATCTTCCTTGCCATAGTAAAAGTATACCAGTTCCTTGTTAGTTATCAGGGAGCTGTCAAAATCATCCACCTTAAAAAGAATGGTAAGAAAAAAAAACGAGACATTTGATTGCTGTCGCAAAAAAAATCAAAGCACTGTACCTTATTGAGTTCATCATGCGACATGTGAACAATATTACGGAAAACATTCATATTCAAAAGCTCTGCTGCTGACATGATGACATTGGCTGGTACCTTTAAACAATGTTTACAAAATATTTGTTGATGAGCTCAGTGAGCGAAAAGGACCGCACCATTTCTCCCGTAAGATTCCATGAAACCAGCCACTGCTTCATTTTCTCGGGTAAAAAGTCCAACCAGAACGACACGGACTTCGCAAGCCAGTCATTTGCATCCAGCGTCTGCCAAGCAGTAATATAAAAACAAACAACTATAGGAAAAAAGAAAAAAATAGTACGTACAGCAAGCACTCGTTTCAGACGCACACCGTTCGGAGAAGCGGCCATTTTCTCAACTGTGGGAAAGAGTCCGATAACCTTTCTGATGTTGAAATCGTCTTTTATATATGGGAGTATCCTGGAAACATTACCTCTGATTACTTTTGGAAAAAAAAAGAGAGAGGAAAAGAATAACACAGCTCCGGTTAGATATACATATGATAACGAAAAAAATCCAAAACAGCCGCCGCGCTAAAACTAGGTCGCCGTGTGCGGAAATCTCAGAGGG